GAACAATTTTCCTTGATAATTTCTTGTAATATTGTGTCCAGATTCTTCTTTTGATCATAACTGTCATAGACCAACAATACTTATATTGTCTCCTCTCAATCTGTTCTCCAGATCAAGTGTTTTTCTAATGAGATGTTTCAAATTTTATTGTATTTTTTCTAGTTTCATTATTTCTTGGCGTCTTAAAATACAATTTGTTTCCACTTGCCCAATTCTAGTTTTCAAGGAGTCATTTTCTTCCTTAAGATTTTGTATCTCTCTTTTCAAGTTAGTTAAATTTCTTTTCATAATTTTCCTGGATTTCTTTTATTTTTGTAAGTCAAAGCCTTGGAGGGGGAAGGTGGTAGGAGGTGACTGAGGAGGGGTAGTGGGAGTGAATGGGAACAAAGATGAAGGAGTTAGCATGGATTAGAGATACCTATTCTATTATTCAGAAGAGAAGAAGAGAATTGATGTTGATAAGATTTCAGAAATGAAGACATGGACCTGAAACCCATGGGAGAACATCTTCTTTGAGAAGTGAGAGGCTTAGATATCTGCCCTAAGTTTAGCTTGGTAGTGGATGAGAGAAGATAAAGGTTTAGAAAAGTCACTGTAAAGACTTTGATAAAGAGTCATTAAGGGCAGAGTAGAAGGATTGACCAGGCATAATAAGGGTCAAGTTGGAGTTAGTTACCCATCTGGGCATTTTGTGGGTCTGTGATTCTTTACCACGTGATTGATGGCCCTTCAGCCAATCTTTCCATCATTATCTGTTTGTGTTCTCCACACTTTAGCCAAACTAGCCTATGCACTCTTACCCAAATGCACCTCCCCCATCCCCAGCCCAGTCATAGGATTACAGATTTAGAGCTGGGAGGGAACTTAGAGGATACCCAGTCCAACCCTCCAGCCCATTTTAGAGATGAAGCCATTGAAGTCGAGAGTTCATAAATATCAGAGTCATGATCTTAACTCCAAGACCAAAGCTCTAGTTTAAGAACCATACCTTTACTCCTTGCTATGCCCTTTATTTGAAAGATTTTCCTTCCTGCCTCTTAGCATTCTGAAATCTTTCAAGATCCAATTCACATGCTTAACTTTTCCATGAAGTTGTCCCTTGTCAATAATAAATCCTTCTGTCTCTGTTATCCAGAAATTTTGTACTAGTGTTGAACTTATATATTAATTTATAGTTATGATCCATGCCAGTCCTTAGCACAGTGCCCAAAACATAATAATAAAGGTTTGTGGACTGACATTTATGTATTTATGGAGGAGTTTCTGATTTACCTTCCCAACAAGATGTAAATTTAATTTGTTAAAGCTCAGCCAGTCTAATACTGCCTGTATCTCTATCATCACATAATGCAAGCCTTTGCAGATCTTCATTCTCTAATAAATGAATGTTGAATGAATGATTGAAAAGGCTCAGGATGCATACTTTGACATTTGAGAGAATTATGGGATCTCAGAGGCATAAAGGACCTCAGTAACTGCCCAAGACTGCTAGGACCTGAATTGGAACCCCCTTTCAACATGCCCAACAAATAGTTATCCAGATTCTGCTTGAAGACCTCCAAGGATGGGGAGCCCACCACATTTCAAAGAAGCCCATGACACTCTAGGGTAATTCTAACTGGTCAGAAGTTTGTTCTTCCCTTCAACTTCAGTTCTCCTGGTTTTGCCCTGGGGGGCCAAGCAGAAAAAAGCTAATCTCTCTTCCACATGACACCATCAATACAATACTGTTAACTTTCTACTAGCTCCTCTTCTCTCTTTTTATCTTAACAATAATTTATGACTTACTGCATGTTATTGGGGTGAGCCTGTCAGATTGTATAACATGAAAGCAGCAACCACTGTGAATTTCCATGATTCTCTTGGCCCAAACACATCTCTCTACTTCTTTCTTTTTTTTTAGCACCTTTTCACTCTTATAAGTTCTCTCTCTCTCTGTTATTTGATCTATTCTAATAAGCCAATGAAACAGGACTCTGGTGACATGGAAAGATCAACCATTCACAAATCGAGTCAATATGGAGAGACACTCTGCTTTGAGGAAATAAAGTGAAGGACATCTCAGCCTGGGCCTCTTGGGCCTGGGTTGCCTAAATGAATGTGGTGACTTCTTCATTCCAAAAGGCCTTCTCTGTCTAAAAGTAGGACCTTCATGGGAAATACATAAGAGGATAGTCTCAGAGTAGAAAGCATACTCCTATGAGATAGTGAGAAGTAATGGAAAGGTCATAGACTGTGGAATCACAAGGTCTCAGATTGAATCTTGACTCTGTCACATTCTTCCGGTATGACCTTGTGTAAATACTTTACTCTCACTAGGCCTCAGTTTTCTCTATGTAAAACAAGGCATTCAGATTAGATCACCTCTAAAATGTTTTTCTTTTTTCCAATGCCAAACATAGGATCCTATGGTCCTATTCATATATCACTAGCAGATGGGGGACTTATGTTAACTAAATGAGAAGTATAGGTTTGAGGTAAGTCATCTCACAATAAACTAGTGAGGTATAATTGAAATTAAAAGAGATTGGAAAAATTACTCATCATATGAGATGGCTGTCTGGGAGGGAGGAAGAGATAAGATACAGAAGAAATATAGACAATCTGAAAACAAAATATATCAATGGAATTCACTTTTTAAAAGAATGTTTAAAATGTTCTTTTAAAAATCTAGACATCAGGAGGGCAGTCTTGTGGTTGAGGCTTAGAATTAGAGCAAAATGAGATATTCACTTATAGAATGTGTAACCTTTAACATAAGGAAATTTCCTTAACAATAATATGGGGAGGATATTCAGCAAAGGAAAAGCATTAGTCCCATTGCATAAGACTTCTTTCCTCTCAATACAGAGACATACCCATTCAGAAGAGGGTGTTGATTCATGAAGGAGTATGAAGACCATCAGGAAAACTCAAAGTTACATCAAATACTTGAGTCTTTTCTCTTGGAATAGTCAAGTGTATAGGAAATCTTCATTGTCTTTTTAGAGTAAAAATAGCCTCAACTACAGAAAAGAGACTTTCAAATTTAACAGATTCTGCTCCTATCCCACACCGCCCCTTGGTGGCAAAATCCTAAATACATTTTAGTGGATGCTGTAGCACTTAAATGGCCTTAAGGCAGTTACTGGACAGCCATGACCAAAGCATATGAGAAGCCTGGGATGGGTTGGAGTAGAAGAGGAGAAAAATACTGGACAAATGTGTACACACACACACACACACACACACACACACACACACACACACACACAC